GGTCTAAAGTGGTAAATCTGAGACATCTTTCAACATTTGAGCATAGGGGACTCAGTAAGATTGCAGAGGGCAAGAAAATTCCTATGGGTGCAACATGGAGAGGAGTGTGCCAGTCACTACTTACCACAGGAGATTCATCATCGCTGATGGTGATGACTTCAGGCTCTGGAGAATCTCGTGTGAGATCTATGACTTCTTCAGCAGTTGAAAAAGAGAAGGTTAGAAGTGAGGTCAGAGATTGCAGAGGAATGCAATGGGCTGCCACTGTGGAGCAGACTGTGCTTGGATTCCCTGTGCCCAAGGTGTCTTTTGTTCAGGAATGTGTCCAACATTTCACTCAAGCTTTGCCCTCAGCAGTCCAGAGGGAGCATTGTCCTCTGTGCATTGCCTCATGTGTCCTGCTGAGCATTGCCCTGTGCCCTGAAGGGGCAAAACAAGAGGAAGAGCACCTGAGCTCCTCACAAGTTCTGTTGGATGACAAAAGCTTACGGGAGGTGCACACCAACAGATCATTCCTTTCCCATAGGGGAATGTTTAGCACAGAGGAGAGAAAACCAACCAAAACTAGAGGGAATGCTAATTTTACCATACCATGCTGTCCATGCTCCCCTGAAGAATGGGCCCCAGCTAATGATTAACTTTTCTCCATCTTTGTGCAGCTTGAGAGTTGCCAAACTCAGGCTGCCACCTCCACTGTGGCAGCTGCAGTCACTGCCAGCTCGTCCGAGCTCACATTCAGGTGTTTGAGCAGCACTTGGGGCCTTTGCTACACAGCTCCTCTCCCACTAGAGGCCAATGGACAGAGTCCAGTAACAAACCAAACCAGCTGTCAGTGGGCTGGTTGTTTAGGGATGCCATACCAGGTGGTTCCTCAAGCCCAAGGTTCCCTTCCTCCCCAGGAAAGGGCCTAGGAAGTGGCCAGAGCACACATTCAAATGAACTCCAAGCCTCCAGAAGCAGTTTCTGTTCTTACCAGGCTCTAAAGCAGGTGAAGCACTTTCCTTGCGGTCAATTTGCTCTGTCTGCAAGGTTCCAGCAGCTCTGGAGGGCAGCAGCCTGCTCCGTTTCCGAGCTGGAGTGGAATCCAGCGCCTCTCCAGGGCGCTTTCGCTGACGCTGAGAGAGAACAAAGCCTTAGCATTTTCTGTGGCACTAATATGAACATGGCACTTGGTTTTTGCCACCCCAATGACAGCACACAAGGATACACAAAACACTCCTGGCAAAGGCTGCAGTATGCATCCAATGGTGCTATGGGCCATTCCCACCTAAGTGCATCTCCTCAGAGCAAAGACATCACCCCTGAACTCGGACAAGCTGCCTGACCAAGAAGGAGCCTGTCCCAATGGCTTGAAAATGAGGAGACCAGTTCCCAATTCTAGCAGGCTGCTGCTCACACTGTAAGCATTTCTGAACTATTGCTGTGAACACCCACAGAGATTCAAAACCTTCAGTATTCTAGAATATCATATTACATAAAGTTTTCAAAAGTTTCCATACTTGTGCTTTTGCTACAAACTCTTGAAATACTTGCTAGAAGTACCCCATAAAATGTTTCAAGATTCAGATCAGCAGTGAGCAATGATGTACTTACTGAGCTCATGGTGTTTGGTGATGTAAAAGCACCGCAAAGGAAGTGGGACAAACACCTAAACAGGAATGTCCGGGATTTGATCAATCCCTTTGGTTCCTTTGGGAAGCCCACTGACAGAAACCTGCTGTTCCAAACCTATCAGAAAAGTACAGGGGAGATTATCTATTTGGAATGCCAATTTTCTTGAATATCCCCATGCCCCAAGACTCCTATTGCCAAGTCTTCAGTCCCTGTTCAAAGCACGAGGGGAAGTCCCTGGCTCTGGCACTGGAGCCCACCTGCAGCCCCTGCTGCAGCCCAGACCAGCCCCTCAGCATGACACACAGCTTTTCAGGAGTTATCTGCACTCACCTGTACAGTCAGTCCAGAGTTTGGCGCACAACCATCAACGTACGGCTCTCTATTGGCAGCCGGGATGGAGAAGACGGACACTCCACGTCTGCACGCCCAGCAGAGAATCCGTCAACTGGCTCAAGAGACTCGGTGTCAACAGAACCTTGGGAGCAGGAGTGCCCCTGGCAACCGGTGCCAACATTCCATGCCCAGGTAACGGGGCTGCGCTTTGCTCACCCATGGAGTTCCAGAAGGCCATGGAGGCACCGCAGCCATGGCCTGGTTCTGCTGCCGCTGGCTCCATCGCGGTGCTCAGGGCCCTGTCCTGCCTGGCCTGGAACCTTGCAGGGACAGGGCATCCACAGCTTCTCTGGGCAGCCTGTTGCACTGGCTCAGCACCCTCCTAGCTCTTGCAAACATCTGATCCCAACCTTCCCCTTCCCCCATGGCTCTCTGCCCCCTCTGGGCACTGGAAGGCCACAGTCAGGCCTCCCCAGCCCCTGCTCCTCTCCCGGCTGCACAGCCCCGGCTCTCCCAGCCTGGCTGCACGGGACAGCTGCCCCAGGCCTCCACACATCCCCAGGGCCGCCTCCAGCCCTGCTCCACAGGCACATCCCGCTCCTGCTGGGCCCAGCTGGACACAGCTCCGCACGCGCGGCCTCACGGGCACAGCTGCACCTCCCGCCACCTTCACCCTCAGGCACCTGAGCATCACTGGAGCCTTCCTGTGCCCAAAGAACCCACAACAAAACACACCTCCCCAAAGCAAAAAGAAATTTAAACCCTTCCTTAACCTTCCTCCTCCAGCTTTATTGGTCTCTGGCTGGTTTAACTCTTATGGGACTGCTTTAACTTGAACCCGAGTAAATAGCAATTAAAACAGAATCCAAGTTTGTTGGAGTTGGTTTTTTTTTGACTGTTGAAACTATCTAACCATTCAGATCCTGATTTCAAGTCTCTGAAATCTTGACATTGTCAGGTGTTGAACTACTCCTCTTCAACAGGGAATTGAGAGTGTTGAACTTCCCAACAGGGCTGAGGAGGTTTGCTCTGCTCCCATGGACAGCACCTCCCTCCTGAGGCCCTGCTCTGCTCTCCAAGGTGCCACAGCAAAAAAAGCAGAATTAATAATCAGATTTCCTTCTAGCCACTCAGCCATGTGACCTGTGTTGAGAGGGATGGGCTGGGGCTCCTGAGGGCACCAGGGAAGCCATCTGAGTCCTGCCAGATGCAGGAATGCTCCTCAGCCCCTGGTCCCTTTGGTTGGGTGCCCTCTGGTGTGGGGAGAACGGTGGAAGTTGATCCAATGCTGTGGATATGAGCACAAGGATATGTTCAGCTCGTGCTCTACACGAGGAGCCTCATTTCTTACAAAAATTTCTCACTTACTACAATTCATCCTTTTGGGTAATTAGGTATCAAGTATTGAAGAATGGGTGGGGATAACTCTTCCATTTCTTTGAAAAAACCCTAAAGGAGATTCAATGCTTTATATAAAACTGCTAAGATGCTAAAGCAATTCCAAATATACATTTAATATATGAATAATGAAGCTCCTTGTATGGGTCCCAAAGCACTGAATATGAGAAATGGACAGTGCAAATATGCTGTCTGTCTGTTCTGGGCTTCTGAAGCTCAAAAACCCCCAATTCTTCTATGCCTAAAGATCAGTGATGGAATGAGCTGAAAATGTGCTTTTCCTTCTGCTGACAAGTATGCACCAAGATGAAAAACAAATTTTAAAACACCAGAAATTTGAAAAGAAAATTGCCTCAGCTGATGCTGTGGAGCCAAACCAAGATGGGTTTCAACTTCTTATAAAATCAGCTGAGTGCCATTTCATTGCAGGTTAATTAAGATCAAATTTGCTTGACCAAAAATGCTTTCTTTAAATGCTCTTTTCAGTGAAAATACCTAGCATAGCGTGTCACTCACGAATATAACTCTTTAAAAAGACATTTCTTCTTACTGTCATTGCATCCACCAAGAAGTTCCAAGTCTAGCAATAATGAGAAACAGAAAACATTGGTCTAAAATTTATGGCTACCCTATAAGGAAATCATTTGATGTGCATCTGTCGAAGTGTTATCTTTGAGGAATTTTGACAGCTCAAGTAGTTTTCATGAATAGGAAAAATCAAAAGATCACTTTATCAGGCTAATACTAATGTTTTTGGGTTTTTTTATTAAGATCAAACCAAATCAGAAATAGCTGATACAATGAACCTTGTTTATTACTACCTCTGGCTAAATATGGCAATAGTAAGACATCTTGAAGTATGACTGAGGATGCAGGTAAAAAACACAATCGAGACAAAAATGAAGAACCCAAATTAAGGTTGCATGTCCACACAGATAACCAAATGTTAACACCTAGAGGACTTAGCTCAGTTTGGTCATCTGAGTTTTCTGTTTCATGGCACAACAAATTTCCTGTTGCATTGTTGACCTGAGATCTGCTTTTGCCTCTTTTTTACTTTTCTGTAACAGAAGTCATTTTCATTCCTCTCTTATCTCTGGACAATTGCATTTCTCTTCAATGTAACTTTGGATTAAACTGCTGTAATTGAAGGAAATGGAGCTACGACACGGTGTACTGCTAACAGCTCCAAGTCAGGAACCAACTTGATCCATTCAAACACGCATTCCTTCAAAAGCCTCCAGGTTCTAACTCGAATGAAACCTTGCAACACTAAATGCAGCAGTTTGTTAACATCCCACTTATTCTCCAAGAAGCTTGCTTTCTTTGGGTGTGTGCACAACCTGCTCGTCTCTCCATCTTCTCAGCACTGAAATCATGATGTTAGCGTTCAGGAACAGACATAGTCACGGAATGATTCTATGAAGGTGCTTTATTGAAGAGCTCTGAGTGTCAGGGGTACACATACCCAAATGTGACCCGACTTGGTTTGGAGTTGAACACGTTTTTATACTCTATTGTTGTATAACTTACATATTATAATTATTAAACTTACATTGTTCTATTGTATGCATTGTTTTTACCCAAGCATGGATTGCTCGTGATCTCCTCTCAACCCCTTAACATTGTTTCTCATGTTCTTTAAACAATAATCACATCTAACAATTGTATCATTTATCATGTATTGATTACACAAGGGCAGTTTTGCATGATCTTTAGCAAGCACAAGGCGTAACATTTCTCAGGTCCTACTTTTCCCAGGGCTTGCCAAGCTTAACTATCTTTCTAAGTCCCCAAATTTTCTATGATTTAAAAACCTTTCACTATCACTGACATTTGCACCTAAACATCCACCAGATTGTGGCCTGAGAAGTACAAGGCCTTGCACCCCAAGTTTCTTTTCCCTGTACAAGACACACTTTATTTGCCACAATTATTATTCAATTATTATTAAACTATTATTTGTTGGCCACAAGAACTACAAAGCATTTGGCTTTAGCACATTTCCCCCAAATCAGTGACTACGATGTGATGAAAGAACGAGCTTCTGACTGCTCAAACCAAGAGCCTGATTTCCACCTGTTAAACAACATCTCTGTCTATCAGCACAGGCCAACACAGAAGAGCAGACAGACTAGAGTTAAATCAATCAAAACGTTATTTATAAGTGAACACATAAAAAATGAAACTAGGTATAGAAAGAACTATATACATAAAGAAAGAAGAACTATATACATAAAGAAAGAAAGAAG